GAGAGAGCAGAGTCTTGTAGGCCAAGCGAGTGGAGTTTTTTGAGGAGCAGCGGGTGGTCAACAGTGTCAAAAGCAGCAGAGAGGTCTAATAGCAAGAGTAAGGATTAGTGGCCGTTGTTTTTAGCGGTTATTAGGTCATTGGTGAGTTTTAGGAGGGCGGTTTCAGTGGAGTGTTGGGCGAAAGCCGGACTGAAAGGGGTCCAAAAGGTTGTTATTAGCGAGGTGGCAACTCAGGCGGTTGTAGATGAGGCGTTCTAGGAGTTTAGAGATGAATGGGAGTAAGGAGATAGGTCTGAAATTATTGAGGTTGGTAGGGTCCAGTGAAGGTTTTTTGGGTATTGGGGTGACTAGTGCATGTTTGAGTGGGGTAGGAAAGATTCCAGTAAAGAATGTGACATACCTGTTGACCCCCAGGGAAGTCCCTTTTAAACCCCCCTCTTCTGTATATGGCTTGTGGTTGGTGTAAATATGACTCCTAACACTGGTGGTCAATGGAAAATTCTAGGGCTGTTTCTTGTTCGATTATTCAAATTTTTTTTTATTGGCCTGGATGGGAAGGGGGTTTAACACCGCGGATGTCAACTGGTTAATTACTGTGCTGTATGTGTATAGGCCAATGAATGTCTTGGCTGGCGCTCGTGCAGAACAAGTTTCTTGGGCAAACCTCTTAGTTGTAACGAAACCGGAAGTCAGGCATGGAACTCTGGTTGAGAATGGCCAGATCATTGTGTCCCGGCACGGTGCTTCATGAGTGTGGCTCTGGACATGATATTCAAATATCTGCCTCTGTTATTAAATCTCATGAGCTTCATGTAACATTACAGAGCAGAATATTATGTTGCAGCATCTTGTCTGCTCTGCAGATTTGTTTGGAGTTGAGTTGTGAATATTTTATACACAAGGAGCCGTGGTGATGGATTCATGGGAGACTGCGCTGTAAGATCTCCCAGGACTACATCTCTCAGCGTGCCAGCGGAGTAGTGCCTGGCTGTGCCTGTCGCATCAGTCTGATCCATATTGGAGATCCCGGAAACTTCCAACTTCCTTCCTGATTCATTGCAGATGTCTTCAGTAGGTGCGATGGGGGTCAGTGATTGGCATAACAGTAATGTCTCCTTGAGCGTGGGTCACGATGTGCTAAAATGGCCAACTGGCTGTACAGTCACAGGTGGTGTTTGGTCTGTCACCTTCTCCACTTGTCCTGGTCCAGTTGGAAGTGACCAACTGCAATCAGCTATACCATGTCCTGGATACATGAGAACCTTCACAGAAGAGGGGAAACAAAAATATTTAGGTTGGTGGTACGTATCAAAGTGACTTCCCTATGAATGACTTCCCCAGCAGAACATTGCCCAATGCATCACACTGCCTCCCCCGTCTTGTCTTCTTCCCATAGTACATCCTGGTGCCATCTCTTCCCCAGGTAAGTGACACACACGCACCCGGCCATCCATGCGATTCATCAGACCAGGCCACCTTCTTTCATTGCTCTTTGGTCCAGTTCTGATGCTCACATGCCCATTGTAGGTACTTTCGGTGGTGTACATGGGTCAGCATGGGCATCCTGACTCATCTGCGGCTACGCTACCCCATACACAACAAACTGCGATGTTCTGTATGTCCAGACACCTTTCTATCAGAACCAACATTCACTTTATCAGCATTGTGATCTCCAGTATCACTTCTATTGGATCGGACTACACAGGCTGTACGTCAAGGAGCCTTGGCCACCCATGACCCTGTCACCAGTTCACCGGTTTCCCTTCCTTGGACCACCTTTGCTCGGTCCTGACCACTTCAGACCGGGGACATCTCACAAGAGCTGCAGTTTTGGAGTTGCTCTGTCCCAGTCGTCTAGACATCACAATTTGGTCCTCGTCCCACAAATCCTCACACTTGTCCATTATTTCTGCTTCCAAATCATCAACTTCAGGGACAAAATGTTCACTTCCTGCCTAATATATCCCCCCCCACTTCCAGGTGCCATTGGAATATATCCC